GTTGGCGCCTGTGAGTTTCGAACACTGATTCATAGCTTCTTTTAGTGACAATGATTGTTGAATAGCACCTTCCAAACTCCTCCGGGCTGATTGTTGAAATTGGCAGACAAAGCTATAGACAAAGAAGACAACAGGGGTATGGAGGGATCCTATTGGTAAAAGGGGTGGTTGCTATGGACAAAGGAGGCAGGTAATAGACTAACTAACGACAACCCACAGGAGGACAGATAGTTAGTGTACCATTTTCTCCCTCAGTTCATGGGAACCACCTATATCAACCAATAGGATCGCTTCATACTTCCTATGTCTTCTTTGTTTACAGCTTTGTCTATTAATTTCAACAATCAGCCCGCTGAAGATTAGTAAGCATTTTCGTCACGTGAAAGGCAACTCTTGCTCGGTATTTTCCAAAATAATTCGGCAAAATGTACGTGAAGCATCCTTTGAAAAGAGCATATAGTTTTTCAACTTCTCCGTCAACTCATAAGCTTTAAACACCTTCATAGTAGGTACTTAGATCTTTTAAAAAAATTCAAATTTCGTATCCTAAATTTAATTTTTCGAAAATGTGATGCAAAATAAATAGAAAAATAGGTTTCTTTTACAATAAGTTTGAGCAGAGGCTAAGGAGCTATTCTTAAAATTGCCTTTTTTTCATCATTGTTATTTAAAAAAAACTCTAACAGTCGTCACTCCTACGGTCCTGAAATATATACTCGGGCCGACACCTTTTGCAATAAGGAACAGCTTGACAGTAAGTAGTGAGTAGGTCAAGTCTCTCCTTCTATTTTTTAAAAAATAAAGGCAGCTGAGGTCATCAACATCGCACAGCGTCCATAATTTTTCTTCATTTTCTGATACTCTAGGATTTTTTTAAAGTAAAAATTTCCTCATCATGCAAAAAGCGTCAAATTTACTACTTAGTTTGCAAGGAAAATAGCAAAAAACTATCGAAAATACAGGAATCGCATGTATTTGTTTCTTGTACAGGCGTTGTTGGAGATCCTCCTAAAACGGAAAAACTGGTGGGAAAATAACCAAAAGTAGGAAAGAAAATGTCGTACAAACTTTGAGACCCCCTTGAAAAATAATATTCCAACTCTTCAATACTTAAGTGATATCAGTTGGGTGTTAGAAATTTCTGTTGTACGGCAGTGAAATTTATTTCAGTGAAAAGTCTCCGATTGGGAAATTAATTCTCCTGATTTTCATCCCCTGCAGCCTTGTCAAAAAATTCCAAGCTTAAACGTCGTGTTTATATTTTTCTCTCACGACTTCGTGTTTTGAATCATTACACCAAACAAATTTTTTGGAAGGTTTTGAGGCAGAATTCCTATGTAAGCGTAAATTCTGTGATGGGGGGGGGCGAGGGGGGTGGTTGGCATGAACCCAGCAGGGACTTCTAAGGATGAAAAATCAAGAGAGAACTTAGGGTCTTTCGGTCGCTGTGCGAGCGGTTTTTTACGTCATCACCATTAGATATGAACGCGTAATATGAGCGTTAAAGCATTGATATGACGTCACATCTCATAGACCAAGTGACGATTGCTTACGTTGTGTACACACAAATACACAATTGTACTAATGATGGAGGCACATTATTGGTTCATAAATAGAAGGTATTAACAGTCACTCGATGAGAGGTCGTTGGTTACAATTGTTCAAAAAAATAATCAAAGGGATCTAGTGCCTAAGTAACGGACTTTTCCTCTTCACGCACTAACTGCCAGATGCTCTCTAGTACACCAAATGGTGAAACTACAAAATTACGGATTTCGTTTGTGAAGTTTGAGCATTTTCACTGTTGGAAATATCCAGGTATTCCCAAGAACACTGCTCGATATTCTTGCGCAAAAATTTCAAATAATATATGGTTGACAAAATGAAGAAAATTCCCTGGTAAAAATTGGCAGTAGGATCTGTGTTCCAAAATACCATAGACCTACAGCCGGCTGTAAGATTTCCAATAGCTTCTATAACCGGCTACAAAATTTCTGATAGCCTTTTGTAGCCGATGGCGACTATTCAACAGCCAGGCGATAAAGTGTATGCTAAACGTTACTAATTACGGCTGCTAGGACTTCGTGAGTTTTTGGACTACTGCTCTCTTTTTGGGCCGTAGTATCTTGATTTATTTTGCGAGGAAAGCTCCGTACTTTTTATGGATGCCTGCCATTCCTAATATATTAGAGCGCCCTCATGATACTGTGCAATTCCTCTGGTGTGAAATAGTTGCTTCAAGCGCCTTGTCACGCTGCGGCGCGGCAGGCGGGCAGCCAGCGCGAAACTCGCATTGGCGCCTATAAACCTAACAGGGATACTCCACGTATTGCGCAGTGCGTGAAGTATCCCTGTTAGGTTTGTAGGCGCCAGTCCGCCGCCGCTTCGCTTTGTGTTAGGCTCTAATGTTTGATCTGGCGGAGTCAGCGTTATTCAACTCATGATTTTGAAATGTCTGCACATCCTGTATGGATTATTCTCGTTTTAATCGATGAAAAAAAATATGTATTAAAGGAAAATATAATGTGTGTTTTGTAAATATTAAGATGTTCCGTATCAAACTTAATGATTTCCAAAGCACACGAATTTCTACACAATTTCTTATAGCCTTTCATAGCCGATGGCGAAAAAGCAACAGCCAGGCGATAAAGTGTAAAGCCCGGCGATAGGAAGTATAGCCCGGCTGCATATTTTTTTATCGCTTCCGTATAGCCAGCTATATGATTTTCTGTAGCCTTCTTTAGCCGGCTATAAGAATTGCTATGGTATGTTGAAACGCAGCTCTTATCGCCAATCTTTACTAGGGTTTAAACGAAAATTTTTGCAAACACGGTGGTGAATTGTGACCGCGGATATAAAGCGCCGCAGTGGCGATTTTGTAAGTCGGCAACACTGTTGTTCGTGCATTTAAATCTGTTAAAAATATCGATTTTAGGTGGGACGAGCTGCCTTACCATGGATCTATTGTTTCACGAAAAAACAGTGTTGCAAATTTGACTGAAGAATCGCCTCTGCAACGTTGTTAACCGAGAGTCGCGGCCGAGTGCTGNGGGGGGGGGGGGGGGTTTCAAACAATGTGTAACGCTGAAGTCATGTTTTTTTTACTTCTCCCTCTCGCTTTGAAGGCAACGCTTTTGTGACTTAAGCCTCTATCCATTAACACGCAAATTAACGTAACGCTGTCCTTGAGTCCTTGACTCCCTCTCCCTTCGCAACGCTTTTGTGACGTAGCCCCTAAAATATTTTAAATTCTAGGAAGGTGATTCAATGGACGCCATATTTTGTGTCAGAACGGCATGCGATATATCGCATCAATTGGTTCCATTTTTTTCCAATTTTGAAATCGCAATTCTGTTGTCAGGAGTCTAAAGCACTCACTCACCAATTTTAACAAAGAAATTCAACGTAATAAAGTTGTGGTTTTTTAGCGAGAAATATTGCATTCGAGTGCAGTTTCGATATCAGTATCGAATGCGATATTCTCTCTCTAAAAAAACTACGCCTTTATTACGTTGAATTTCTTGTTAAAATTGGTAAGTGAGTTCTTAAGTCTCCTGACAACAGAATTGCGATCTCAAAATTGGAGAAAAATGACGAGTAGCTGAAAAAATGGAACCAATTGATGCGATATATCGCATGCCGTTCTGACACAAAATATGGCGTCCATCGAATCAACTTAAGGTGATTAAGGTGATTCGCCATATTTTGTGTCAGAACGACATGCGATATATCGTATCGGTTGGTTCCATTTTTTTAGCTATTCGTAATTTTTTTCGAATTTTGAGATCGCAATTCTGTTGTGAGGAGACGAAAGAATTCACTAAGCAACTTTGACAAAAAAATGCAACGTATTAAAGGCGTGTTTTTTTTTTCACAGGAAAACTATCGCATTCGAACGCAGTTTCGACGACAGTATCGAATGCGATATTTTTCCTCTAAAAAAGCCACGCCTTTATCATGCTGAATTTTTTGTCAAAATTGGTAAGTGAATTCTATAGTCCCTGACAACAGAATTGCGATCTCAAAATTCGAGAAAAATGACGAATAGCTGAAAAAATGGAACCGATCGATGCGACATGTCGCATGTCGTTCTGACGAAAAAATGTGGCATCCATCGAATCACCTCACTATTAAATTGTATCATAATCTGCGCGGAAAATCCCTTAGATGGCTCTCCAAAGTACTTAGGGAACAACAACGTCTAGACGCTCATTTGAACTTTTTTTTTTTCTAAATCTTTTCTTCGTTCGCTAATAATAATATTGAGGTCTATGAAACCTAGCACGTAAGAACTTCAGGTTTTAGCCGGTTATAACCGAGACATTAGCATTAGCACAGGTAATAAATGCACACAGTCCTCGAATTCCAATCTGAGGCAGGCTCGAGATGATCTTTAAACGGTAATGTCTGTTACGTCTAGATTGCACTTGTTAGTAGCAGTTTTTGTCGCTTCTACGGACCAAGTGGGGATTAGGTATATTCTTCGGAGAGCTATCTTTTTCCTCTATCTTAATAAATCGGAGCGTCTTACAGAGTATGCCTCATTACAATTAGATCGGTAACTGCTGAATAATCTTAGCGTTGCCAAAAAGTAGTATTACTCTTTTTTTAAAAGTTAGTTTTAACAACAAACAGGGGATTTGAAGCGCGAAGGGGGGGGGGATAGCACGATAGCCATCAGATGGCATCATTTCATTGCAAACTATCCAAGTTTTTTTGAAACCCTGCTTCTCCATGCATGTTTCACATTGACAATTTAGGGAGATTTGTGTCAAATTACAAAAAAAAAAAAATTACAAAAAATTGCTAATTGCAAAGGAAAATTCACAGCCATCCTTGAATAAATAACTTTTTGGATAAAAGCTTACAGCGTTCCAATGAAATTCTGCGTCAAAGTGAAGATTGCAAGTTCAATATTGGGACTATTAGGTACCTATTTAAGTTTGAATACATTCCCCGAGCTGTTCCCACTTTAAGTTTCATTCCATTTTTTGTTTCAGATTGATCCGGTTCCGATTGTCTGGAAAAAAAATTCAAGGGGCGAACATGCAACGTTTGCGAATTCATGTCAACTCATTTCTATACGCATTTCACGTGGTATAAAGAAGCTTTCTGCATGAGCTTGGTTTCACCTCTTTCCTATTGTTACCTGCTCTAGCTGAAGAGTCAACGTACTTTATTTGTTCAGTTGCTGCGCACACCTGGATGATTCGTGAGCTCTAATTTGTGATGTTATTGCTCTCAGGATCACAAAGCTTGGCGCGGAATTGATTTCACAATCCGATAATCTTCAAATAATTATACAGGTCAATACCTATCTACTCATAAACCCGCGCTTTTTTGTTTCAATGGTACGGTTCGATTTCGAGATCCACATTGCAGCCCACCATTAGTCTTCTCAACTGGCATTGAAAAACTACAAGGTCAAAAGGTAACGTTGAGAAAAAATCACCAATTCGACAAAGGAAAAAAATCAGCAATCACCTTCGGTAACACTTACGGTGGTAGAACGGAAAGCGCGATAAGATTTAGAACCAGTTTATGGAGACAGAGGTTGTATTATGCATCGCCAGGTTACGTTGGATTCAAAACTCGAGATCCTCCTCGCAAGAACGAACAGCTCTCGACAGTCTCCCGTCGTTCACAATGGCGTGAGATGTTCAGATGTCAACGATATTTCATAGGCAGAAAATGGAATAAAACTCTCACGATAGTGGAAGAATGACTTGTGAACAGAGATAACATCGACGATAGTTAAATGATAAATGCCATGTCGAGTCCCTCCGCAAATAGACCTTTCTCCTCATAAGAGCGGAATGTGCGACTGCATTTGAAAACATGGAAACCAGGACTTCATTTCCGCTCTGTTCCTTCGACGCAAAGCGCATTGCGGCTTCGGTGTGTTTAACTGATCGACTGAGCGTTATTTCAAAAATATTAGTGAAACAATCCCTGTTCGTCAACTTTTAACCCTGAGGCTGTTCTAAGGTGAAATCTGCATACTCAAAACACGCCGTTGAATGCCTCCATCCCGAATCCTGTCCTTCAAAATGCAAACTATTCTTGGAGGGAATTAATCCCAAAGTCATCGCAAATCACGGGCTCGCTTTGCAGTTACAAAACATAAGAGATCAAAATGGTAGTGCAGATGGGAACGAAATCCGTTTTATGTATCAATGTCAAAAATTGTAAATTGTTCAATTTAGATGTTTCCCTTTTCAATTTAAACCCAATTAAGTAGTCTCAAGGCTCTTTCGCTCCGCCACCAGTGATATCCATTGCTGAGAATTATCTGTGATATTATTTATTTTACTCTACAATCGTGGCTCAAATATCGTGTCTTAAGTCATTTTTTTGTATACCTAGAGTATTTAGTCTCTGACGAGAATTATTTTTGTTTTTGCAATTTACTCTTGTTTTAGTCTTTGTTACTGAGAGCCACTTTTTTCCCTCGCAAAAAATTACATTATTTTCTTTTAACTTTGTTACTGCTGATTCATCCATAAAATAGGATTTTCAAACGCACCACCGCATTCATAATTAAGCGCTAATATTCTAATCCGTAGCGTACCGTTAATACCTACATTTTTCTCCAGAAAATTCGAAAATTCGAAGATTTCAAAGGTAACCATGAGCGTCAGTGGAATCAGCGAAGAGAAAGATGCAATTCTCACCGATCTAATGGAAGACTCATTGATCGACTCTTTGAATTCCTTATCAGGAGAGGGATCTCTCGAAGAGATCCCAGAGGATACGACAAGGACATCCGAGGGCTATGCTCCAGGGGACTCTTCAGCTGGATCTGACAGGACGGGTTCTGGAGCTGGGACAACAGCAACAACCAAATCTGTCAACGTCACACCGCTACGTCACGTCGTTACGGCAGACTCGCCTTTCGTCACGTCAAGCAAACACGTCAACGCCGCGCCACTACGTCATTCCGCCACGATAGACACACCCTTCGTCAAACCCGATAACCCACCGCTACGTCACGTCATGACGTCGGACTCTCCCTTCGGGTCCGCCTCACCTTTCATCACTTCAGACTCGCTCGTCGGTTTGGTATCGGACTCGCTCCTGGGCATTCCATCGGACTTACTCTCCATACCTGAAATCGCAGATACCGAGCCGTCGACGAACGATGACGTCATACCACCCCGTCGACGATCCGTCATCGCGCCTGACTCGCCACCGAAAACTACCGCACCACCTTCAGAAGTTTCATCCGAGGCTGTGGCGTCTAACTGCACCGCACCCATGACAGCTAAAGTACCCGCCGTCGCTGCAGAACCACCGGTTGTCAAAAAAACCGTCTCGAACCAGACGTCGCTTCCTCCTCTACCATCGGTGGCGTTTGATCCAGAATTCCCTGATGCGGGGAAGAAACACGAGGGGATCCTGAAGCGGACGTACAGCGAAGGGGGCGGAGGACGTCCTGAAAACGGTCGCAGATTCTCCACGCCGAAGTTCGAAAAGGCTGCCACTTTCTCGCAGACGAACATCCTGGAAACGTACGATGACGACGTTACGGAAAGCTCCATCGAAAGGACGAAGCCCAAGGTTCCAGACGGTGGTTGGGGGTGGGTGGTGGTGCTTTCGGCGACGATAATCTCCATGATCGGCGACGGGACTGCTTTCTCTTTCGGACTCCTCTACATCAAGTTCCTGGAAAACTACGGCGAGAGTAAGTCGAAAACCTCCTGGATCGGAAGCCTCTTCATGGCAGTGCCGTTGCTCCTGGGTCCGGTCGGAAGCGCGTTGGTGGACCGGTTCGGGTGTCGCACGATGACCATGCTCGGTGGAGTCATCTCGGGAACCGGTTTCATCCTCAGTTCGATAAGCATGTCCATCGAGCAGCAATACCTGACGTTCGGTTTCATCGCTGGCTTGGGGTTGTGTCTGTGCTACGTGACGGCGGTGGTGAGTGTCGCGTACTGGTTCGATAAGAAGCGCACCCTGGCGACGAGTCTGGGTAGTTGCGGCACCGGTGTTGGGACGTTCGTGTACGCGCCTATGACGTCATGGCTCATCGCGGAGTACGGGTGGCGGGGGACGATCCTCCTGCTCTCCGGGCCGTTTTTCAATTTGTGCGTGTGCGGGGCGGTGATGCGGGACCCGGAGTGGCTCATCAAGGAGCAGCGGGAGTTGAGGCGGACGGCGGGGAGTGACGCGTCGTCGCCGTCGTTGTCCGTGTCGCAGATGTCCAACGGCGACTTCCCCGGCGTCGAGGAGGTGCGCAGAGCCCTGAAGAGCGGGCAGCGACCCGTCTACCGGCTCACCGGCGTCAACGCTGTCCTCGCCAAGACCGAGGAGGGCAAGGATGGAGGGGCGCCCTTCAACTCCGTCATCAATATTCCTACCTTCATCAAGCAGAACGAAAAGGTTCGTATTGAATCATTTTCATCGGAAAGTATTCACTCATATTTGGACGTATTTCTGTCAAACGGAACTAAGCGCCATAGGGGGAGGAAGGTAGAGGGGGGCTTTGATTGACGGCGGAACCGGGCGTCGGGCTCATTCCGTCCTAAACTCGCAATGCTTTTCCACGACGCTTAGTTCCGTTTGACAGAACGCGCTATCCGGCATTCTAAAATCATCAAAAGGAACTCAAATTGGCGCGTAGTTCCGTTTGACAGAACGCGCTATCCGGCATTCTAAAATCATCAAAAGGAACTCAAATTGGCGCTTAGTTCCGTTTGACAGAACGCGCTATCCGGCATTCTAAAATCATCAAAAAGAACTCAAATTGGCGCTTAGTTCCGTTTGACAGAACGCGCTATCCGGCATTCTAAAATCATCAAAAAGAACTCAAATTGGCGCTTAGTTCCGTTTGACAGAACGCGCTATACGGCATTCTAAAATCATCAAAAGGAACACAATTTGGCGCTTAGTTCCGTTTGACAGAAATACGTCCATTCTAGAAAACTTGGGGGAGTTGGATGTTGAACTGACTTGCCTTTGATTGGCTTGTCCGACTTGTGCGTCACAGGTCTGCATGGTAAGCTAATGCATGCAGGAGCTATGTCAATGTGTTAGTCAGAGAGGACCCGACTGCTAAGTTATAGCTCGTGGTAGTATTTAAATTTTCAACACTGGAAAAAAAAAACGCTTGGATCTAGAGTCTAGACTCTTAAAAACATTGAAGAGAAATAATACTCTTGATTCAATCGGATTTTTGCTTAAATCAAGAGCCAAGCCTCTTAATTTGAGTGGATTTCCTATTGATTGACCCTGCATATGGTAAAAATTTGCAGTAGGATTTGTGTTCCAAAATACCATAGACCTACAGCCAACTGTAAGATTTCCAATAGCTTCTATAGCCGGCAACACAATTTCTGTTAGCCTTTTATAGCCGATGGCGACTAAGCAATTACTCACAGCCAGGCGATAAAGTGTATGCTAAACGTCACTAATTACGGATGCTAGGACTTAGTGAGTTTTTGGACCAATGCTCTCTTTTTGGGCCATAGCATCTTGATTTATTTTGCGAGGGAAGCTCCGTACTTTTGAAGGATGCCTGCCATTCCTAATATGTTGGAGCGCCTTCAATTTCGTACGATACTGTGCAATACCTCTGGTGTGAAATAGTTGCTTCAAGCGCTGTGGTACGCTGCGGCGCAGCGCGGCCGGCGGGCAGCCAACGCGAAACGCGCATTGGCGCCTACAAACCTAAGAGGGATACTTCACGCATTGCGCAGTGCGTGAAGTATCCCTGTTAGGTTTGTAGGCGCCAGTGCGCCGCCGCTCCGCTTTGTGATAGGCTCTAATATTTAATCTCGTGGAGTCAGCGTTGTTCAACTCATGACTTTGAAATGTTTGCACACTCTGTATGGATTATTCTCATTTTAATTGTTCTATCTAGAAAGTAGGTAGACATTTTCTTGATGAGCGCCATCCATAAAGTATATGACAATGCTACTTGGGACCTTAAGGTATTAACTTAATGACTAGCTTTGTTTTCTGTCCTCGTTTCGCGGAGCTAATGACTGCGGTATATATGCAGCACCAAGGTTTTCGATCTAGGTGTCAAACATTTTTCCGTCGTAGGAACCAAAGCTTCCGTTCAGTTTTTGTTAGCTATCCTGAGATTTTCATTTCTTACTTGGGTATACCAAAGACTTTAGTTATGAGAACCGAAAACCGGTTTAGTGACCAGAAACTTCATTCACTCAGACCGAAAACTTTGGTGTTCCACATGGCTCGAAATTGGATGTTGGTAATCAATTTTTTTCTATGTCGCATGAAGTAGACGCACAATTTTGCACATGCTTGCTTTTTTTCTCTTTTCACTTATGTTGTTTTCGCGATTACAAGAAGCGAACATTCGGTTATGGGAACTAAAAGTTCGGTTTGAAAAACCAAATAATTTGATCGATCTGGAACACCGAAATTCAGTCCATAGAATTGAACTTTTATTTTTCAGCGTACCTATAACTGGGCCAGAAAGCGTTTATAAAAATTGGGAAACGAAAGCGATCGTTTTAAAACCTTCCACTGATGCCAATGAACGAAAAAAAAGAAGTATATCAATTTGATATTAATGAAGTGATAATTCAAGAAACGTATATACCAGGCTGCCAAGTTATATCCAAATGCGCATTTCTCTGATTTTCTAGGAAGGAAACTATCGCAGTCTTTAAGAATTTCGGGAAGTAAGTATTTCCTCTCTGTAAGATATAAGTGGCCCTGTTTTTGTTCAAATTTTTGAAGGGAAAAAAAAAACACTCGTTAAAAACCCGGATATTTCTCAAAATAGGACCAACTGCGTAAAACAATTTTACAACGTTGTGTCCGATAAGAATTCAATTTCGGGAGGCAATGAAAATTTCTTTTAGTGACGTCCCTAAACTGGTAATAACACCGTGCTCCATACAATAGCTGAACTGCTTACGATCTGCATTTTGAGTTCTGCCCAAATCCTTACAAAATGCTCTTTCATATTCTAGCAAGGCTTGCAATGGCGCCTTGTTTTATGTCAACAGGGTTTTTCATGGCAATGCTCGTTCATAAATCTTACTTGTGGACACGGAGGTACTTGCACAAATTGTGATCAGTCCTGTTTTGCTGCGCACCGTGTAGGTAAGCCCATCCTTCTCCCCTACCCCATTAATCGGGCTCATTACAACATTGCTCATATTTTGATGAACTCCTATAAGTGCGCTCTTCTTCAAATTAATTAAAAGCTGGATGAACTGCTATCCTCTTAACATGAAATGAGCTCGTCGTTAAAAATCTATCACACATCCATCTTGAAGAGTGTTTTTAGAGATGGAAGGTATTTATTTTCAGAAGCTGATTAGTGCTTTTTGATGAATTGTGAAAGCGTCCTTCATTTAGTCCTATTCCTAGTAGATATAAGGTGATTCGATGGAGGCCATTTTTTGCGTCAAAACGACGTGCGATGTATCGCATCGATTTATTCCATAATTTCAGCTACTTGTCATTTTTGTCGAATTTTGAGATCGCACTTCTGTTGTCATGAGACTTAAGAACTCATGTACCAAATTTGACAAAGAAATTCAACGTAATAAAGGTGTGGTTGTTTTAGAGGGAAAATATCGCATTCGAGTGCAGTTTCGATATCAGTATCGAATGCGATATTTTTCCTCTAAAAAAACCACGCATTTAATACGTTAAATTTCTTTGTCAAGTTTGGTACATGAGTTCTTCAGTCTCAGGACAACAGAAGTGTGATCTCAAAATTTGAAGCAAATGGCAAGTAGGTAACTGAAATTACGGAGCTAATCGATGCGATGTATTGCACATCACTTTGACACAAAAAATGGCATCCATCGAATCACCTTAAGTAGGTATTGTTATTGAACACTGGCGGATTTCTATTAGAATAATAGTAGCTCAGTTCTCAAAATGATATATCGGCACAATTTTTAGATCTATCACCGACCTGCGACATGAAGCAATTATAAATGTGCATTGCAGGTAAATGTACACGATTAGTTATTGTTTAGACAAAAACTATTAAAAGTGTCTGTCTAGATTGCGTCCCTCCCTCCCCCTAACATTTTACTTATCTATCATTTGGGCTGCGTTTGTCGAAAGAATGATGTAAAGAAATTTGCTTTCGCAGTGTTAAAAGGATAACTTTTCAACTTTAAGGATGACCCATACCTTTTATTAAAGATTCACGTTTAGAAGTTAGGTTTCGGTAAGCCCGAAGTCGAAGCGCTGCTTCATTTAGGGTTGGGGCACTAATAGTTCGATAGGACAAATAGGAAAAAAAAAAAAACATTTTTTTGTAGCTTGATCCTCATCTTAGAAGGCAAACTTGCGCAATTTAGGAGATTCCATATCCGTACGATATAATGCAATTTCAAAAGTATTTGCATATCAATGACCATAGTGCAAAACCGCGTATCTCAATTTGCGACACTGCAGACTTCCTGATATAATTTTGTTTTTCTTTGGAAAACTAATTGATTTCTTGATTTACTTAATTTCTCCTCTCTGTTGGAGGAATATTTTGTATACATTTGAAACTTTCATGTTGATCTGCTTCTCTACGAAAAAATAAAGTAAGAGAGGAGATTTTGAAACACCGCAAAGGAGATACGATGTTTCGCACTTTGGCCATCAACCGACCTACATGTTCTCTTTAATTTTCAATTTTATTTCTAAGTGTCGTGACTAAATTCTTTGCTAAAGCCATTCGACTTTGCTAAATAATAGTAATAAAAAAAAAAAAAAAAAAAAAAAAAAAAAAAAAAAAAAAAAAATAAAAAAAATTAAATTGACCATACCTATAACATATTTAAGGCAGAGGATCTTTCAAAATTTAATGAGTCAAAGATAAGTTCCTGTAATTTTGGACAATTGCATAAGATTTCTACATTTTTAGGAAACAATCCATAAAAAAACTAAGTCTTTTACGGGATCTATAAACCTTTTGTAGGTGCTAGTTATTTTATTATGACTATCATTATCATTATTTTCTTCAAAAAAATTGTAATTTTGAGGGTTTCAAAAGCTTTCCCAAATAGTGATCAGAGACTAGCTTTATTTATTGAATTAGGCCTAGGGCTTTTTTTGCGTCTTTTTCCGAGAACCTGGGAGATTTAATAGATTTGACTTTAAAATGAAAGTTGCTGCTGATACTAGCCTTTGGTGAAAGCTTTAACTTGATTTCAAAGCTTGTTTTGGCGTTACAGGTGGTCAGGTTTAATTTGTTAGCATTCATAAATGCCTCTTTATGTACTAAAAATGTCTTTGCATCGCTGAGTCACGAAAACACGTATTGAACTCGCAAGCTAAAAATTTCAAAAGAGGCTATTTTCATTATGATATATCTTTTCAGCTACATCTCAATTGGACGGTTTAAACCAGAAACAGCCTAACCGCATTTTAATTTGGTGAACTTCCTCTCATGTTTTATTATTTAACAATATGATACCTGGAAATTTTCTCTGAATTTTCCTCAGATAATGAAGAATATACTTCTAAAATTTCAGATCAGAATATTAAAAGAAATAAAACATGAGAGAAAGTCAGACCACGTCTATTGTAGTTAGTATGATTCTGGTATTAAATCCGTTTCGTAGAACTCTTGAGTTCTGAGAAACCTTCTAAAAAGGCCCTTTGGATTCTAAAGGTTACTAGGGTGTTCTGAAGGTAAAAAAGTAGATGATAATATACCCGTCAAAAAATTTTATTGCTCAAAATATAAGAGCGGTGACGGATAGTCGTTGGAAAAGACACTCGCACTCAGTGGCAGGAAGGGGGGTAAACAGGGACAACTGGGGCACATCCTGGGGCAGGGGCGGCGTAGGAAATCTCACCGTATTGAGCACCAGCAGCGTATTGGGCACCACCAGCACCGTATTGACCACCAGCAGCACCGGCGCCAGCGCCAGCCTCGGCGTAAGGGAAGACCTCCTCAACGATGACAGCCTGGGGTCCGGCGACCTCCTGGAAGACGGGCTTGGCGTACTCGTCGACAACGACGGGCTTCTGGGTGTAGACGTTGAGGGCGGCCGACTGCTTGTGCTTGACGACGTAGGGCTTCTCGAAGTAGTTGATCTCGTACGGGTAGGCGGCGTGCTCGATGTACTCGGCCTTCTGGGGTCCGATGTTCACCGGAGCCGGGAGCACCGACTTGACGACCGTTGGGTGGATCTCCGGAAGAGGCGCCTTCGGGCAGGATGGCCGGACTCTGGCGTGTGGGTGTGGGTACGGGATCGGGTTGGCAGCGGCGACGGCCAGGCAGGCGACAACGGCGACGAAACGGAAAGCCATCTTGGATCTTCTGCTTGCTGAGTGGTGAGTGTGCCAGAGGAACCAGAAGTGAATGATGCAGGTCCGGCGTATTCCGATAGTATTTATAACGAATCGGATTTACCTGGCCGAGGATACCGCTTCAGGTGCCCGACAGGAAAATGCCCGTGTTTTTTAATCAGATATCGGAGATGTTATTTTGGCTTTGAAACGCCCGCCAAACGTGAAACCGCGGGTTTTCGGTGAGATAGATTTTCCCGCGTCGTGTAATTGGATACGATCGGATGTCGTACCGTCAGAAGAGGAGTTCGATTTTTCACGCCCGGGCCGGTCGAAATACGAATCCGCGAAAGTTGACAAATTTTGAGGTCGTGTTTGAAATAAATAAATTTTACTCAAACCACTGAATCTGGTTTCTTTCGAAAATCTGAAATATGTTCTACTGTCACTGAAAATGAAGTCCTTTCCTGGCCACTAAAAAAATAATTTGTTGTTTTAGCACCTGGGATGTCAAAAATGTGTTTGGTGATCCCATGATGCTACCCTTACTGCCCCTTACTATTAATTTCATATCCTGTGAAAGTAAATTCAACTGCGTGGGCAATCAAGGCAGCATCTTAGGATCACCAGAAACATTTATGGCTATCTAGGTGCTAAAACAGCATACCATTTTTTTCAGTGAGCCATTCGGCTCAACCGCCGACAATCCGGTTAGCGCGGCCAACAGGTTGTTTTGCGCAAATAGTAAGGGCACTGAACTATCGCGTGCCACGGGTTTTTACTATTTAATTTCTCGTATTTCATCTATGTAAAATTTTGCAAAAAAAACACAATGGTGTCCCTGGTCTGGTTTGTTCCTTATGAAGATCATGAGAAATGAGATCATCATTGTATTGGATCAATGCGTGATGTTTGACGCGCGTTATAAAACTCGCCTTCAACATAATGAGTATGCAGCCTCATTGCGACGGTAGTGTCTGAGTAGTTATCGCTGAAAAAGGAGACCCTTAATTTGTTGACATCGTATTGGACTGAATCCTGAAAATTTTGGGAACGATTATATTTTTTGAACTATCCATATAGCGGATGTAGGGGACTACTTCTGAGCACATTTGGATTAAAATTTTAATCACTTAATCTTTAGAGGGCGTGACTTTGCAGTAAGTGTGCTTGCCAGAAAATTGGATAAGATGGAAACTGGATACTATGTGCAAATGAATTAAATTAAAAAGTAATATTGGTAATTGTGTATAGAATCTACGTACTACACTTTTTATTTTATTCATTTGCACATAGTTCTTTTTAACATAAATACGTATGGACATATTTCCCTTTGATTTAATTAAATTGCATGTTGTTTCTTTTAGCATGAATTAATGAGTCCAGTCCACACGTGTTTATGCTAAAAGGCATCGTATGCAAATGAATAAAATCAACAGATACTACGTACGTAGCACGTAAGGTTATGCAAAAAACTCATTTTAATTCAACTTTTTTTCACTTAGCTCTTTTCAGCACGCATACGTCCGATTGAAAAGTTTTTAAGCATCCTTATGATCGATTTCGGAATGACATATTCTCTCACCACCAGTATAATGCCACAGAAAAGTTATATACATCAATGTAATCTCATCTTCAGGTTACGTGATTGTTATAGTTTGGATCCATTCTGATAGTACGGAGAATCGCCATGGTGACGTCCCCACGAATATCGTCTATCTTACTGTAGCTAGCATTAGAGCCCCTTTATACTGAGATTAAAGACGCAATGTGAATCCAATTCTGATCGGTTCCCATATTTCAGGCCTTCACAGTGTCACAAACGAGAATAAAGATTACATTTTCATCGATTGCAAGGATTATAAACTGGAATGACTGGGGAATTGGGGGTACGGCAAGGAAATTGAATTATAGAGAGAACAGAAATAGGAATTAGGAAATGGGTTGATCAAAGATTACATAAAACATCCAATTTGTGTAATCTTTATTCCCGTTTGTGACATCCATAAGCCGCGTTGTCTCAACCTTCTTGATAAAGGGACTCTATCGGCGCATGGGCTGGAACTTTGGGGGATGCCAAGTTTGCATAAACGACATGGTGGATGGGGTTCTCGGGATGCCCCATTGCCTCCCCCCCCCTTGACAAGCCAAGGGAGATGCGCGGGTCTAATCTGGGAATTTTTTGAAAATAAGGTAACTCTAAAACGCAACTTCCGGTTGTTCTTATTACATTAAGACTTTTTTTTTAAAAAAAAAAAAAAAAAAAAAAAAAAAAACTTGAAAACTTTGGAAAGAGCTTACATTACAATAAAACAATGATCAATATGAACAAAAAGGGAGTCTTCAAGTTTCATGAACGAACAGCGAAGCAACGGCTTTTAAATCGGCCTGAGGATGCGACGCGAGGACGATACCAATCCCTTGAGGCAATTTTATTATTCGTGCTCGCAGTATGTGCGTATTGCATTAAGCGACATTGAAGGCGCCACGAATATTTTCCCACTAGGCACCTAGCCTTTTGCGAGATTTTGTGCTCCATTTGGACCGCGTTAAACAAAAAACCAAGGACCAAGCCACATCAGCTATTGCCAAATTTAATTGGGCAATTTCATTTTTTACATGAAAACGGTTGTGCGGATTTTCGTGCAAATTTTAGGGAAAATTCTCCATAGTTTGAAGCGAATTCTTTAAAAATTTCAAATGTATCCGCACAAATGCTCTCTCGTAAAAAATTTAATTGCCTAGTTAAATTTGGGGATAGCTGATGTGGCTTGGTTCCTTTCTGTCAAACTCGGTCCATTTGACAACTGTACGCATACGATCCGAACGGTCCCTTGCAGCCATTTCCTCCCCGTTTGTTGGTTCTAGCCAGCATGTATAATTGTATACACTGTGTCTCCCCTGGTAAAAATTGGCAGTAGAATCTGTGTTCCAAAATACCATAGACCTACGGCCGGCTGTAAGATTTCCAATAGCTTCTATAGCCAGCTACACAATCCTTATAGCCTTTTATCGCCGATGCCGATTAAGCAACTCACAGCTAGGCGATAAAGTGTATGCTGAACGTCACTAATTACAGATGCTAGGACTTAGTGAGTTTTTGGACCAATGCTCTCTTTTTGGGCCGTAGTATCTTGATTTATTTTGCGAGGAAAGCTCCGTACTTTTAATGGATACCTGCCATTCCTAATATATTAGAGCGCCATCAGTTTCGTATGATACTGTGCAATACCTCTGGTGTGAAATAGTTGCTTTAAGCGCCGTGGCACGCTGCGGTGCGGCAGGCGGGCAGCCAGCGCGAAACGCGCATTGGCGCCTACAAACCTAACAGGGATACTTCACGCGTTGCGCAATGCGTGAAGTATCCCTGTTAGGTTTGTAGGCACCAGTGCGTCAGTCAGCGTTATTCAACTCATGCATGATTTTGAAATGTTTGCACATCCTGTAGGTATGGATTAATCTCGTTTTAATTGATGAAAAAATATATGTATTAAAGGAAAATAAAACGTGTGTTTTGTAAATATTAAGGTGGCTCCGTATCAAACTTAATGATTTCCAAAGCACACGAATTTCTACACAATTTCTTATAGCCTTTTATAATCGATGGCGAAAAAGCAACAGCCAGACGAAAAAGTGTAAAGCCTGGCGATAGGAGCTATAGCCCGGCTGCATAATTTTTTATCGCTTCGTATAGCCCGGTCGTATGATTTTCTCCGCATTCTACAGCCAGCTATATGATTTTCTGTAGCCTTCTTCAGCCGGCTATAAGAATTCCTATGGTATTTTGAAACGCAGCTCTTATCGCCAATTTTTACCAGGGTCTGGTTTGCCATTTGCTTGTGAAGGTAACCAATGGTGCAACTAAACGACTGGTTTTATGTTGCAGGTCCCGTTGGAGGTGCTGGAGACTCTGAGCGAGAACAAACGCGTGTTCAAGGTGATCCTGGAGAACTACCCGAGTCTCCTGCAATGCCGGAGCCTGTCCGACCACGAGCAACTGCACCAGGCGCACACGACTGCCACGAGGGTGGCCGTCCCTGTGACCATGTCCATGCGCCTGAAGCCCAGCCGCCGGCTCACGGCCACGCACACGCCGAGCAGCAGGGACGCCGCGCACGCGCACGGGAGCAGCAGGGACGGCACCGGAGCCGGGGAGCCCTTGCTCGAAGCGGAGCAGCCCAGGGGCACCGTCCCCGTTCCCAAGGTCCTCGCCCCGCCCCGCACCGACTCCCTGCCCTTGCTCCGGCGGCAGTTCAGTATCAAGGAGCACCACCCGCAGTTGAGTCATTTCCGAGGACACAGGTTAGACATCCCAAATTCAGCTTGTCACAAAATGGATTCAGCTAACACTGAAAAAAAAATCTCGGTGTATTTACTAAGAAAAAGGTAAAATCACCAAGAATTTAGGGTTCTATTTGATCCCAGTTTTTTCTTGGTAAAATTACCATTTATGGAATTGGTAATTTTTCCGAGAAATCTCGGTAATTTTACTGGACCTTGGTAAAAACGCCAATAATTTTTATCGACTGTGGTAGAATTAGCGAGATAAAATTGCAAAGTTACCGGGAATTGATTACCAATAAAAGTGGTATTCTTACCTGAAAAAAACAGTAAAAATACCGGTTTTTAGGTAAGCTTACTAGTCAGTCTTGGTAAAATTACCAATAATTGGTAAAACATGTGAGATGGTAAAGGTAGCAATGGACCTTGGTAAAAACGCCGATAATTTTTTTTCAGTGAGGGGGGGAATTGGGTGTCTGTGTCTGCCCCCCTCCAGAAATATATTTGACCCCTTCAAGGAATGGCAGGGATTCTGCCAAATAAGAGCGAGACTAATGTTTTTCATCTTTTTATCTTCGTTTCAATACATTTTTCGAATTTTCTTAAAACTTTCTAAAAAAAAAAAAAAAAAAAAAAAAAAAAAAAAAAAAAAAAAAAAAAANAAAAAAAAAAAAAAAAATTATCAAAATAACAGCGTCCTTTCGAGCCATGTACGGTGCGACTTTCAGGTGCAGTGCTCCCGATTCCTGGAACTATAGTACCGAATTTCGGAACTATTGAGATTTTCCTGAATTTTTCCCGGAACTTTTGGAATTCCCGAAATGTTCCGGATTTTTTCCATTTTCCGGAACTTTCTCGGAACTTTTGAAGAAATGTGAAAAGAATCCTGGAACTTTGATGGTCATATAGTGGGAGAAATTGGAACAAAATTGTTCCGAACCCCTGAACTTTTGCCGTACATTGAATGGGAGCACTGTATCAGGCGGCTTTCGAAAGCGAGATCACCAAGGTGATCGAGCAGTGAATTTTCACGGGGCCATCAATGGGACAAAACACCCCGGTTGGCTCTTGACTCGTTGGCAGGTGACTCACCCGACCCGAAGTAATAATTAGAGTGGATCATGAACTGCCACCGCGTCACCGTGGCTCCGGACGCTGCATGGACCAACGGAGTCGGCGAGGACCGGCCATGTTCCACGTTATAATTAGACGTGATGCGAGGCTCGATCAATTCGCGCTGTCAAATGGGTTTATGATCTCAAGTGTTTAGTTTAGTTATTGGAGCGGATCGTCGCATGGTCATCGTGTTTGTTTAAGTAAACATCTCCCACCGATCGAGTCCATGCATTTTTCCGCTCCTTGCTCTGCTTTTGCCTCCGTGCCCAAGAGACAAGTACTGCCGTGCTGAGGAAGAATGCCGTATGAGCCTTCAGACGTTGCCAAATTTCTTTCGATGAAAACCAAATTTACCGGGAAAATTGGGAATATTTTTTTCCAAAATTTTCAAACAATTTTGTACGCACACTGGAAAAAAAACACATTGCATCTAGAGTCCAGACTCTTGAAAACATTGATAAGAAAAAAATACTCTTGATTCAATCGGATTTTTGTTTGAATCAAAACGAAATCCGCTTAAATTAAGAGGCTTGGTCTTTGATTTAAGCTAGATTCTGATTGAATCAAACGTACTTTTTCTTGTCGATGTTTTTACGAGTCTGGACTCTAGATCCAATGTCTTATTTTTCTAGTGGCATTTTAATTTGAAGTGTTGAAAGATTTCAAGGAAAAATATGCATGAACATCGTCAAAATTATAAATTTTATCAAAGGAAATTTGGCAACCCTCGAACGTCCATACGGCGTTCCTCCTTAGCACGACAGATTGAGATGCCGTTCAAGTATATTATGTAATATATTTCGGCTAACTTTCAAACCCCTCTTTCCGCCACCTTGTAAGAGACCCATGAGGCATCCTCTTAGCAGGCGTAATACTTGAACCTACCCTTGAAATCGAGTTTTTAGAGAATATGGACTCATGGTGGTCTCTGACTAGAGAATTCACCGAATTAGTCCTTCAATTTTCGTAAAACGGTCCGTAATCATCCGGAAAATTCTTTTCAAGTGTGCTGGTGATTCGGAATTGACGAATTTTCCCCTTTTTAACCAAAAAATAACTTTTTCGTACCATGACAGTGGATAGCCAAAAGCCGCTATGTTCTAGGTTCAAGCTTTGCGTGGCAGTTTGTTTTTGGCCTGACATAGTATTCCAGATTATTCACGTCTGTTGCATATTTTTCTCTTGAATGTTTGACGACGTCTCAAAAATCAGACTCCTTCATTCTCTGCGATAGATTTCCACCTAAGAAACCTAGTATCTATCCGCGAATGTAAGAACCCCCCAACAAAATTTTGTGCCCTCTATTTTTTCGGGACGCCTGCCTATGCCAAAGCTCCATGACAGCTAACCTGGCGTAAACACTTACACGCAAAGCGATCGTTTCAGTTTTATGATATCAACATCCGTTTTTCATTACTCAGAGACTCTTACCCATCAGCCAGAACACTCTATGAAGTAGACCTTAATTTTTGATAGTACGATCATGAATTTTCTATTTATGTGTTAATGGGCCTGTTGCGCATGCAAGAGATACAGCCGTGCGAATAGACTTTTTAGTGGTTAAATGACACGAAAATTACGATGCTCACATTAAAAAAGTCTGAAATACACTCCTTACTGCGCAATTTGCGTTGTCAGGAACGCGCTTTTTCAAATTTCCCGCGTCTGGGGGCAGTTTTCTAACGGAAACAATTAACGGCAACTCGCGGCTATTTCCGGTCAACTAAAACTGACAACATAACCTAGAAATCTTCTTCTTCTTCTTCTTCTTCTATGATGGTTTATTGGCTTCATGCTCCGGTGTGGAGCCCACAGCCATCTATAGACACATTGTGGTAGGTAAGTGTTNGATCTCAGGTCTCCGAGGCTAGGAAAGGAATTTCATCCATCGCCGGCCGAACTTCCTTACTTTTCTCAAGGGGGGGAGGGAAGCGACCAGATAAACAAACGTCACAGCATGCTATCTCTCTCTTACACATTGAGCCGCCCATAAAGAAATCGGTCTGCATTAATTCGGGTATATTTTTGCAAATAATACCCACAAATTTGGTATCATTCTACTCAGAATGTATGCTGCTACGCGTATTCGGTCGATTTTTTGCATGAATTTCAAGTCTTAGTTAATTATTCACTCTCAAAGACTCGCTCACGTAGCAGCGCGACGTGGTGGCGGTTTCTGTCCCTAAATCGCTAGAGATTCACCTTAACGGCAACTCGCGGCTATTTCCGGTCAACTAAAACTGACAACATAACCTAGAAATCTTCTTCTTCTTCTTCTTCTTCTTCTATGATGGTTTATTGGCTTCATGCTCCGGTGTGGAGCCCACAGCCATCTATAGACACATTGTGGTAGGTAAGTGTTTAAAATGTTGAGGAGAGAATTAAGTGGGGGGATAGGGAGTAGATATGCAAAGGGGACTGAGGGGGTACCAACACCATCTTCACGCCACAAGACCCACTGTGGCGACTAAACCTATGGTAGACTGGGTCCTGGAAAACATACTAAGTGAACATTAGGTATAAAGGTAGGTTTGTAGGGTTTTGTAGGATTAGAGAGATAGATGGATGTATACTTAAAGGGCGGGAATGGGAATAGCTAGGGGGGAGGAGAATTGGGTGATGAAGGGCTTGTTATCATTACGGACTTTTATAAGGAGATATTATTCTGGTTTAAGAACTCGGTGATTATTTTACAGATAGAAGGGAGAGGGTTATGAAGAATGAACGATATATTGAAGGGGGGGGAAGTAATTAGCGTTAATTAAATTTTTAAAGAAGGCATCGTGTTGTAGTAGGGGGCACTGAAAGAAGATATGGTTGAGGAACCTAGAAATCGGAGATCGTGATATCGTGAAATGAAATGTAGAAGGATTGCGTTGGATATTTAAAAGTTGATCGATTTGGTTATTGCATAAAGCGTATATGGACCACTATAAGAGATCACGTTGGGTTTGTAAACAAACCGAAGGAAAAAATAACAACAACAACAACGACTCGACATCTTCCGGAAATCACCGAGCCCGCCGTTTGCTCGTTTCCGGTGATTAGAAAACTGCCCCCAGACGCGGGAAATTTGAAAAACCGCGTTCCTAACAACGCAAATTGCGCAGTAAGGAGTGTATTTCAGACTTTTTTGATGTGACCATCGTAATTTTCGTGTCATTTAACCTCTAAAAAGTCTATTCGTGCGGCTGTATCTCTTGCATGCAACAGGCCCATTAACTGTCCATAGGATGTGGTTCGGTGTCTCTTCCTGTAAATCTCACTTGAATCAGCTCGTGTGAAAACGTCCTATGTCCATTTTTCCACTAGCGGAGGGGTCAAAGGGCTGAAAATGGTGGGCTCGGCCCCCTTCCCCCCCATTTAAATGTTTAAATCCCTTCTTCAGGCATCTACGAGCATTTTAATTATTCCATGTCAATGTAAGCCGATGGCTGCGAGACTCACTGGAAATGAGACCATTGATTTATTCCTCCAGTTTTTGTCTTGTATTTTCCCTTTTTCATGGGTTTTTCTGCCTCATAGTCTAAATTTGATTTCGTTTAAGCCTTAAATCTTTGATTTAACGTTCTGCATAGAACCACAATCATTTCATGCATTCTAGGCAGACCTGAACACATTTCTTGAGGGGCGATCTCGAATAATGCGAAAACTTCCGATGTCAATTATTGTTTTTTTTTTTTTTTTGTTTTTCTCACTGTCACATGACTTTCATTGGAACCTCGAAGAAACGAGGAACACTTTTTTTTGAGTCCCTGGAAGTCTGGCATAATAGTATACTCTAATTTCAACGTTTTTTGAGGGTTCAAAAATAATTATTTTAGGGCAGATTTGTGCGACTTGTGCCAAAACGTCTGATGTCCAACGCCTTTTTTTAAAAATTACTCACAATCAGCTCTAGGTGGGAGTTGGGAAGGGTAACAGTTGTGGGTCTTTTCTAGAACTCTCTATCAAGATACACCTTCTTCGACTTTCTTCATGCACAACGCCGATTCTGAGAGGTTTACCAAAAAATGGCTTTTTGGACATCGGCCGTTTTCGCACGAGCCTTCACTTAACCTGCTCATTGATAACAAAATTACATAATTTTTTGAGTATTCTTTCTAAATACCTATGTTTTTCTGAATAGAAATTCTGTGATGTACCGAGGGGCGACTTTAGATTTCCACAAGTACAAACTTCGAGCAGCTTCTTGTCCAAATATCTACAGAAACCCAGTGACGTCATATATAGCTCAAAGAAATCAGTCCGTAAGTGTAACTCCTTTAATCATACTGATTCATTACATTTCTGATTTCTTTGATTTAAAAAAGTGTAAGATCTTGATATGTTTGCGAAGGATCAAATTACCCAAAACACGGCATCCCTGCTAATATGTACTTGCTCCCTATCTTTGCATGGAGAGTTTGTCTTGATGTAGAGGTGGACTCTGAGGATAGCGTGGGATATACTCTCCATTTTGGCCTCAACTTGAGAGCTTTTTTTTGAGCTTGGGAGTTGATTTCCGAGAAAATGAGTGGCACCATCGTGTTTCTCGCAAACTTTTACATAGGAATAATTAGTTAAATCGCAAATTCCTTACACATGCAACATCTCCATTACTCTTGAATTTTTCATAACATTTCCTGAACAAATGGAAAAATGTAACAAATTTCCCCAAAAATTCGAGTAAATTTGGCGATGTCTGAAGGCTGATACGGTCGCTCCTCTAACGAAAGGGCGTATCTTAGTTTCCACGTGAGCCCTGTTCTCCGTATAACTCTATTTTCTTCGGAGCTCATCTGGAAATACAGATACGCTCTTACGTCAGAGGGGCGACGATATGACGCTCCTCCTTAGAATATGATTAATGTAGTAAGAATCAGTGGCGTGGCGTGCTTTGCGATATATCCATTGATATGCCATTTACACCTATGAAAAAAGGTCTATAAGCAGGATGTTCGAACACCTTAGTAATCGATTATTTACTATAGATTCAAATGGGGGAATATCGATAATCGATCATTCACGCCACGCCACTGGTACACTGGAAAAAAAAAAAAAAAACACATTAGATCTAGAGTTCAGCCTCTTAAAAACATCGACAAGAAAAAGTACTCTTGATACAATCAGAATCTAGCTTAAATCAAGAACCGAGCCTCTTAATTTAAGCGGATTTCGTTTTGATTCAAGCAAAAATCCGATTGAATCAAGAGTATTTTTTCTTGTCAATGTTTTCAAGAGTCTAGACTCTAGATTCAATGTGTTTTTTTTCCAGTGTGAGAATGCATGTTCAACGAGCAGTCATTGATGTTCGCAAATTGAAACCTGTGATTGCAGAGATGGTTGGAGGAAATGAAGGAGCTTTTTCGCGGCATGACGGACTTCTCGATGTTTCTGGAGCTCCACTTCCTTCTGATCTCTCTGTCGACGATTCTGCTTTTCACTTGGTTCATCGTGCCCTACTTTTATCTCACGGATTTTATAATCAATCAGAAAGTGATGACTGAAGCCGAAGCTACTAGCATCATCAGCGTCATCGGTATCACAAACACTGTCGGAATGGTGAGTTGGATTTTTTTTTCTTTTCTTTTTAAAGGTAAACACATGTTTGTAATAGGATATCGATAGCTAAAGTCAGAGTAGTCAGCCTCCATTGCAAAAATTCAAGATCTGAAATTGAGTTGTACTCATGGCCGGATTTACCTACTTGCCGCCCATGGGCCGCCTGTATTTTGCCGCCCTCTTCTCATTCATTTTGAAACATCAATTAAAACCATCGAGTGAACGTGCCGGAGGGAGAAGGGTGCATAAGACGCGTTCATTCGTGTTGGGCACATTTTTTGCGTAAGCCCTGTCAACACCACTAGCAAAAGTTCACGGAACTTCGCGCGAAGGTTCAGTTCCGTAAACCTATCTCTGTGTGGACAAGGCCTTTCATTTGTAAGAAATGAACTAAAAAATTAAGAAAGAAAAAACATAAATGTGGTCTAATAATTTTAACTTCCACCGCCGTGCCGCGCTAACCACACTGTGTTTGGCGCAATGCGTGAAGTATTCATGTAGTCTTGTGGGCACTGTGCGTTTCACGCCGCGCCGACCGCTGTTGACCGTACTGTGTTTGACGCAATGCGTGAAGTATTCATACAGTCTCGTAGGCGCTGATATGTGTTACATGCCGACCGCCGCGCCGAGGGCATCTCCCGCATCTCCTTTTCATCTCAAGTCCTCTTCATCATTTCTCTCTGCGCCGCGCCGCTCCAGGCCAAATTACGTGTTTGGTTTCTCTCTTAACTCAACTAATTAAAGGTGCGCAGTCTTTTGTATCACCGAAATACGACAAAATTAGAAATTAATGAACTCTCAGGAAATGAGAGATTTTGTCACCTTTTCTTATTTGTAATTTTATTCTGAATCCGATTTTTTTGTACCTGCATTTAAAGAAATTAATTGCAAAATTTGCCGCCCCCTAATTTTGAAGCCATAGGCCGCGGCCCATGTGGCCACCCCCTTAATCCGGCCCTGGTTGTACTTATAAGAAAAAGAAAACAACATAGAAACTTTTCGCAATTTTCCGTGAATCTTTTACACAGAGTAAACAAAATGTACAGATATTTTAAGAAAAAACCTATGGTTATAGTTCTCCTGTAGGTAGGATGTTTCCGGCCAAACAGCTTACACCCATGTCATAACGTTGCTAAGATTGTGCATATCTATACATTCAACTGTTTAGTTGGTGAGAACTGTAAGCTTTGTTCTGAAATTTGCCTCAAATTGTCTTTCTATTTTTCTAAATATTTCGGCGAGACAATATTTATAATGTGGATGATTTCGGATCCTTGTAAAAAAAGGAAAAGTTGCATCTTAGCGACGCTGACATGGATAAAAGCTATTTGGTCGGAAAGGTCCTCATATATGTATGTGTAAAACGTATGTTGGCAACGTCGCAGTTGAACAAATGCATTTTTTTACTGTAGTCAGTTAATTAGTGCATTTCATCTAAATTAATTCACTTCTCATTACTTCTAACTCCTGCCATGAATAATGATGGAAACCAAGAAACGCACAGCCTCAGTGCGCGTCTCTGATTCTGTCGAGTTCGCCTTCATAAACGATTATGGCAATATTAGCGACTCAAAAGCACGAATAGTAAATCACCTTCCGGCCAAAGTATCACAAGCGCCATTTGACGTTTCAAAATTTCCGCCGCCATTTTATCTTTTTGCAGAGAAATTTTTAGTTGAATCTGTCCGAAAATGTCAATGAATTTTATCGGCAGCACAATGAAAGGTTATCAAAATTTTCGGACAACTTCGTTGAACATTTCTCCATAACAAAATAAAATGGCCGCGGAAATTTTGAAACGTCGCATCGCGCTTGTGGGACTTTGGCCGGAAGGTGACGAGTTGTTACATTCGCTCTGTTCAGGCAAGGAGCCACGTTGATAAGTCAAAATCGAAGATGTTGATACCGAGGAATTTTTTTTGCATTGAAACTTGAAACCACTGTTTGATGGTCCATTGGAATAACAAGGTAGATTTACACAGGTATGGACAGAACTAAACAACTGGCCTCTGATTATTGGCTCTCCAGCGGCCCCTTAACGTCAGCCATTTTGGATGTTTTGATTATTTTGATTTATTATGTTCGGTTTATCGTTAGTCAAAATTTTGTGGGATTTTTTGCACAATTTTGGTTATGCGTTATTAATTCTAGCGTTTAAACGCACAAACGTTTGAATGTTAATTTGATTGTAATTTAATTAAAAAACGGGCCCCTTAACCTACGTCACGAGGTCATGTGACACGTACTGAGGCTCATGGGAAATTTTCAACTTTTCCATACCTGTGTAAATCTACCTTGTTGGAATAAGGCGCGGACAAGTAGTTGACCGAAACACGACATCAGCCGACGCTGAATTTTCCACGCATTGTTGCTAACTAATGGAAACATGAATTAGCTGAAAAAATCTTCAATCCCACTCGCTCTCATTCACTGAACAGGAAAAATCATTCCATAAACCACAATTTCTCCACAAATATAATTCTTTTTTCGCATTTTCTTCCACGTTTCCTCCACATTTCCCTATTACCTCCTGGGTTATTTTCTGCATAATCGTCATCCTCTCTCTTAGTTGAACTTTGAGAGAGCCGTGGGCCCACCATTACCAAAGAATCTTCAGTTTTAATTATAATTTGGCTCTCAATTCCTCTTGAAAAACATAAAGAATCCGGAATGTTAAAAATATTCCTTAGAAAAAAAACTAGATTTTTTCTTTAATTTTAGCCTGCGCGATTCGCAGCTCAAGCCCTCATGAGTAACGTTTTACTTTCCTTCTTTCGGAAAAAAATATATGTACTTATGAATTCATAGGACGGAAAAAATGAAATTGTTGATTTACGTGAAAATTGCGTAGTTAAAAACGGGGTCCGACATGTTTCAATGTAGATTTTACAATAAAAAAATGCTAATTTAACCACCCGCACCCTCTTGGGAATATTAGCTTTCCACTATTCTAAAATGTATGTTTGGAATATGTCGGACATATTTTTTAACAATTTCATCGTTTAATCAAGAATCCATTTTTTTCCGTGTGGTTGAGTTGTAATACTGCCGTGCTAAGGAAGAACGCCGTATGAGCCTTCAGGCGTTGCCAAGTTTCATTCGATAAAAATCGAATTTACTGGGAAAATTTTGAAAATTTATTTCCAACATTTTCAGACAATTTAGTACGCAATTTACTCTAAAATATCTGAAATTTTCAAAGAAAAATGTGCATAAATTTCGTCAAAAATACATGTTTTATCGAAGGAAATTTGGCAACTCTCGAATGTTCATACGGCGTTCTTCCTTAGCACGGCAGAATAAGTCTTTTTAAAATTATTTATCGATCATATAGATGACTTATGAAGATCACGGAATATCCGCAGGTAAGCGCCACTTTCATGAGTGATCCAATACAACACGTGCTCTAATTTCGATGAACATTTTGGATTAAGTGTCCTCCAGATCGGAATCATGACAAGCAATTAATTATGTTAATCGAAGTTTATCCACGCAATCAAGTGGCGAACGTATTCCAAACCGAGATCACCGACACCGCTATTGCCAACTGGAACGATATATTTAGGTACTCGCGAAGATTGCATTCATCATAGATGCCAGCGACTTGATGAATGCCGGTGGTCGGGTTTTAACACTCGAGACAACAGATTTTCTCGTACTTACACATGGTGATCAGCTGCTTACTTTTGATTGATAATTTGTCTAGGTACTCAACAGTTTCCGAAGCTTTGACCTGGTTTAT